CTCAAATCCTCGACTCAAAGCTCGACCATCGGTTCCGCTGTCCACTCCTATACCGAGTCCAATGGTTGGGTTATGAAGGTACCAATGAAGAGTTTGCCTGGATCCCCACTACAGAATTCTCTGTGGATGAATATATCAAAGACTTCCACCAATGTTACCCAGACAAACCAGGACCGCTATCCAAAGTCACCATCCACAAAGTCTCCCTCAAACCCTCGCCCATTGCTTCTTGACCTACTCATAACTTATCGGCTCCCTACGGTCTCTGCTTCTTGAATTTCAAATCAATTCCTGGAAAACTATTGCAAATTACCTTCCCAATCAGACGCCTATTTCTTGCTTTCCTCCTCACTCTTACTCACTCAAGCCTACAAGCCAAGATATATAATTATTGCCACTGGGGCCTACGCTATCAAAACCATGTACAACACACAACATCCAAAAAATTATACAAGTCCAAGAAGGGCACCTAGGATTCCATGTGCACCAACTCTCCCATCACCACATCCTTGTCCACCCTATCTTCCCTTCCACTTCCCTCCTCCTCCTCATCACTCATGACAATAAGCTCCAGCTCATCCAGTGCCGGAACTCCAATGGCACCTGTGCCCGGGCACATCTCATCCCTCTTCTTCTCCTTGAGATCCAATTCCCCTTCAGAATCCTCTACCAAAAACTCATCTGCATCATCCAAATACCTCTTCCACAATGCCCACTCAATCCGACAGCCTCTGAGTGCATAGAACTTGTCCCTTGTGTCCAAGAGATGGTCACAACATTTGATGGCCAATTGGAGACTGTCTTTCCTGAGACAGCCATACCAAACTTGCATGTTGGCAACCTTGAAGGGATCCGTGGCGTCGAGGGTTTTGGTACCCATCACATGGGCATTCCACATCTGGGCAACGTCCTTGTCAAGTCGCATATGCATCACGATCCGTAGGGCCTCCAAGTTCATGTTCTTGAGGTTTCCTAGCTTGACCTTAGATGCTGCCCATTCCTCCCTAAACTCCTCATCAACGAAACCCAATGGCCATTCCGGTGCATCACCCTCATGGAAGTCGTCCACAAGGTCATCAACCCGGCTTCCGAGGAAGTCGACCTTCCCCTCTACCCTTTCCAAGCCTTCCTGGAAGTTGTCCATCTTGTCACAAAGTTGTTGCAACAGGTACACAACCTCATCGGAACCCGTGGATCCTGACCCTTCACCCTGACTAAATACGCACTTGCTCTTCTTCAGCTTACATTGCTCGCAAGTGTGCCCACAGCAGATAAAACACTTCACGTCGTCTGCCTTACAACGACCACAACGCTCTACAGAGCAAGTCAGCATAAGCTATGGGACCCTATGGAAGTAACTTACCATTACCCTTATATTCTTCGTCGTCCACCTGCATCTCAGGCTCAGTCTTCAATTTCTTCAAAGGCCTTCCTGATGTTCCTGTGACTTCCTCTTCCCCACTGACCATCACCGCACTAGACTTGATCTTACGCTTCCTCAAAACATCCCCGGCCTCCGAATTGGTCGCCTTGCCCTTACCCTTCCTATCCTTCCTCTGCTTTACCAATTTTTTCAATGCCTTCTCCTTCAGGTCCTTCTCCCGCTCGTCATCTCCATTGGACCCACTACCAACCTTGCTCCCCTCATTCCCATCTACCTTCTCCTTCTCCTTCTCTGCCTCTGCAGCCTTGCTAGCTTCCACCAAAGCCTTGGCCTTGGCCTCACCTTCTAACTTCTTCTTCTCCACAGCCCTCCTTTCCTCCAAGGCCCTGGCCTCCTCTTTCAACCTCCGCTGCTCCATGGCGGCCGCCCCTGCCTTTGCCTTAGCCTCTGCCTCCTCTTGCCGTTTCTTCTCCACAGCCTCCTGCTCCTCCCTCTCCTTCCTTGCTTTGGCCTCCGCAACCTTCCTCTCCTGCCCCAATTTTTTCTCTCGTCATTTCAACTCCAGAGCCCGCCTCTTTTCCTCCTTTTGTTTCTGTGCTTTCCAGGCCTCATGAGCCTCCACGGCATCCTCCCTAGCTTTCTCCGTGGCATCCCACTCATCATAAAAGGCTTCCAGGTCTTCAGGCCGAATATCTTCGGGCGTCGGGGCAGGCTTGTAAGGTTCAGGCATCACGGAAACATGGTACTTGATGGTTGACGACATGACGAATGACGAGGATGAAATTCAGAAAATAGAGGAGATGGTGGTGGTAGGAAGCTAAGAGGTGAAAAGCCATGTGACCAACCTGAAAAAATTCCATGCAGTCACACTCAGCCATCGGGATCTGCGTCCTTGAGGGCAAGAATGCTAAGAGGGGGATACTGTAACAAGCATGCCGACAGAAACCCGACTTCCACTCAACCCAACAAACCACAGCCCGGAAACCTACAGATTCCGATTCTCAGTTTCTATTTCAGATTCCATTTCATATTCTATTTTATATTTCACTTCTCCATTACAATTTATCAATAGCCTGACATTGGTAGCGAACATGTCATCGGACCCCATCAGCTACCAACCGGTAGAATACATCCTCCGACAACCCTAGAATGTAGACCACTCTGAGTAGGAACTAGATCAGACTCCTAACTAGTATATAAGCCTTAGAATTACACTGTAGATACTCAGTTCGAATATCAACTTGGTTCAGCCCAATCTCTCTCTCTGACTCTAAGTCACACTCTCATTCTCCAGTCCGCAGAACTCTGATCCATTGGATTTATCTCTTGCCTCGTCTCTGCCACTCCACAGACTTCTGTCCATATCCATCTTAGGGCTTCGGCTCAGAGGTGACATTGCTAATAGCTTCACCTACGCCTGACGCATCCCATGGCATTCCGCTACATGCACTTACTGCCGCAATCCTATTGGCACGATCGTAACAAAGAGTCTGTATGACTGTACCTGCAGTCATGGCTTATACTCTCAACACTCTCATGGCTCAGAATAATTGGAGCTTCAACAGAGTCTTCACTTGATTCACTGGTTGAACTGATTGGCATGGACATGTCACTACCTGGTCTAGGGCAAGGCATCCCAGCATGCACAGTTATCTCTTCTCCTAATTGCGCTGTGTGAAACTTAATATGTTGCCATGAACTTAATTTTTTATGCTTATGCTCATGTTCTCCTGGATAGAACATTATGGCTGCATGTCCTACTGTAGACAAGATGGGAATGTCATCAGGTCCTTGGAGTTCAGCCAACATGGCATTGAAAGCAAAGGTATGTTGTAGTCTGTAGTCTGGAAACTCGTCCGTTTTGAGTCAGAGGGCATGGTTGGCGGTGAGGAGGATAGCATGGAATGAGTCTCGGTTAATGATGTCAGGGTGAAACAGCACATTTTGCAGCTGCACTAGGTGGGTTTGGCAGGTCAAGTCAGTTACGGAGAAATATGCTGCTGATTTAGAGAGTGGAATAGGTCAGGGTATATTGTTAGGTGGAATAATGGGAGAAGGTTGTCAGCTGTCATTGTCAGTTACATCTTGCAGATGAAGGCAGATTTCTCAGTCTGTGGTTTGTTGGAATAATGAAAATGACATAGTTGTTTGATCTTATTAAGTTTGAAAGGGGTAGTGATTATAGTGTATTGGACTTTTCTCTTGTACTACCAAGGCTTTATATATGCAATTTTGTTACCTTCTCAATTGGTACAAACTTCTGGTCATTTCTTGAAGTGAGTGGTATATCTCTGCTGATGAACAGTACCTCACTTTAACCTCATCTGTGTCAGGTTCTGTTTGCCAGATACTCCACATTGGCAGGATGTGTTTTGGGTATTCTAGTCTCTCACCTCACATCCTGTTGAACAGCATGACACATCAATTATTGGCTGGATAAGCTTGGGGCACTGTCAGGGGCATATTTTCCACTTGATTCGTGCAACTCATATGTTCCATTAGTACTTTTAACACCAAGATCTGGTGTTCTGTCTGTTGAATCCAGAATCATGCCATGCTGTTAACTTGTGTTTTCATCTTCTCTGTCATGGTGTTATGTTTCATAAGGGTGCATCTGTTAACTAGGGCTTCTGTGCCATGTTCAAGATGCTCTTGTTGGTTTGCAAGATCTTTTGTGGGTACACCCTTCGATTGTATGGCTGTGCGAGGGGTTTGGAGTTTTTGTTCAAGTGGGTAAGACTTGTTTCAAGCTTCTATCTGTGCTAGGCATGAAAGGTATGTGACTGAAGGTCCTAATTCAATAATTTTCTCTCCATTGTTGATTTTCCAGGCTCCTTCAAATACCATGTCTCTTGCACCAGCAAAATAGGCTATGGCAGTTTCTTTTAATCCAGCATCCCATTGTTCATCCACCACAAATAGCTCCATATAGTCTTTAGGCTGCTTGGGGTTCCCATATACGAGGTACGTTCTATTATGACTTCACCTCTATTTTTCTTATCTTATCTTATCCTTATCTCCTGGAGCCCTGAACCTACCTATCTTATCTCTCAGACCTATGATATTCTGCCGGCACATCCTCTACCTGTTTACCTGAGTGCCATCACCCCAATTCACAGCTGCCACATCCTGGATGACCGATGACCTGCATGCACCTTCACACTTCTCTTGATGGTATCATACTTCTTAGTAGTTGGGCAAGAGTAGACCGCTGGTTGAGGACAGTCTATGGGATGTGGCCTATTCAGATGGAATCCTGTGCAGATGCAGGTGATATGTGCTCTTTACTCTCATTCATTGAGAGTACACTTCTTTTAGTGTCCTCGCTCTTCATTTGTTGAGGAGTGCACTTCTCACTGCATGTGCCTTTCTAGGTACTATTCTTAGTATGAGTCTAACATGTATTTAAGCTAGCCTACACTGTGGCCTTAAGCCCCAGCTTCGGCTAAGATTATATACTCCTAACTCTTATGAGCTCCTTGCTTTCACTATCTAAAGTGATGCCTAACTTCTTGCAATCTACCAAATGCCTCTCTAACACTGAATCACTGAATGCGAGTGACAGGATAGAGATCAGCCTTGGCTCAGATTAGAGTTAGTGCATAACATGTTCCTTCTACTCGTTCATCCATTGAAACTAAGTTTCTGCATATCCATGGTTGACTCAAGAGTAGCTGGAAGGTTACATTATAGTTACTCACAAAGAATACCACATTTGTGACTATGTTAGCCTGCCTGAGGTATACATTATTAAACTGCCTGAGTAATGTCCCTTGGTTTCCATTGGCATCCGAACACCGGATTTCTTTCAAAGGCATAATGGGATATTGCTTGTTTAACTCGTGAGCCATATTCTAGCTAATAATATTAATTTTAGAGCCAGAATCCACAATGGCATCCACTATTAATTTTTTGTTGCCGACACCCAGGTCGACTTTGATTATTATTAAAGATGCTCAGATTATGGGTTCAGCCCATATTGGCTGCATGCATACCAAGTTTACTCGAGCCAGTTCATCTTCGAATGACTCCAGATAAGTGCTTTTGGCTAATTCTTGACTTTCAGCAGCTTTGAATGTCCTGTATTGTAATTCCTTAATGATTTGTTTCTGTAGTTCAGGATTACATGCCATAAGTTCTCCCATAGGGGCAGTCATGGGTGCATTTAATGCTGTTTTCATTAAACTGTCAGGTTCATACCTTCTTGTTATCAAAGGTTGTTGAGCTAACTTTCACCTAGTGGCTAATTCATCGTTTTGAGTCAATCCTGGGTTCTGTCCTATCACAGCAGGTGACATCTTGTATGATATATCTATATCTTCAGTTTTGGACAAATTATGCATGCATGTAGGACATGCATCCACAGATACTATCGGGTTCAGTGGTGGTAAACTTTCCTGCCGTACATTTTGCTCATGAATCCCTGGATCATCACTTATTATGTTTTTGTTAGGGTTCATTCTAGTGCCATATGGATTTGTAGTGACGGCCTTAGTGGGTTCCACAGGCAGTTCTCGTATTTGCTGGTATACATTCTCAGGAGGTCTCTTCAGTACCACTTGTCAATTCCTGACTCGGCTCACTGCCTCGTTCTCCTGTGCTGCTGCATACAACTGAGTACAGTCATCCTTGCTTTCTTCATCCAAGTAAGCTATATCCACATCTTCTTCAAAGTAGTCTACATACACTTCACTAATATCCTCACCTATCTCATCATCTAAGAAAGCTTTCATCATGTTGATGGAGATTAAATTAGATTGCATCATAGTTTGTTGTATCACCTCCAGGAAGGTTTCATTCCCAAACCTCCTAATGAGGGTTCCATCTTGATGCATGAGTTTCCCCATTTTGTCGTGTTGTACCTGGCCTATCCCCATTAATTCTTCAATTCTAGAGCACTGCCTTAGCATATGGTCAGATTTCCCACAACCAAAACAATACATAGCTCTGCCAAGCTCTCATATTGGGTTCACTGGAGTGGTTTCTGTCCAGGTCAGAACATACTGTACCATACTTTATTTTAATGGTGGCACTATGATTTCTGCAACAGTCGCATCTCTCTTGATGGCCTGATAATAGATTCATGCATATTCCGAGTCACTTACTTTCATTCTTGCTAAGCGATCCACTAGTTCTTCTACTTCATTGTCTGCATTCTCATCTTTTCAATTGTCCACTGTCTCTATTTGCGAGGTCAGGTCCTTCTCATGTTTCTTCTTCCCTCAGCCTCTTTTGTCTTGTTCTGCTGCATCAGAACTGGAGCTGCTTAAATCCGAGTTTTCACTCTCACTTTCTGAGAGTTTCTTCTTTCTCTTGCTTTTCTGCTTCTACTTTCTCTCCTTCTTCCTATTCTTTCTCTGTTTTTCCTTCAGCTTCTTATTGTGATTAGAATCTTTGCTTGATGTGGAAGTATTTTCCTTATCTGAATCGGTTTCCAAATTTGAAGAACTTGAAGAACTAGAGGACATCTCTGTTCTCAGCATGACCTTTTCTCTTTGTCGTTTAGATTTCTTGGCTTTTAAGTCAGCATCAAAGCATTCTCATGTGAACATATTGTAAATGATTTTTGCTACATCATTGTGTACAATTATCTGCTGTGGATCATACTGAGGATGCATAGCAAGGTGATGGGCTTCCACCGCTTCACGTAGTTTGTTGTTCAGCCCATACCAAAATTTTGTGTGTTGTTCATTCTTCGTAATTTTCTTCTTGCATAACAGCCAATTGGATACTGTCAGGAAATCTACCTCATATTGTTTGAACTTTTTCAGGTTGTGTATTCTTTCTTGTCTCTATTTGTCTGTTAGTCAGTCCAAGTCACTGATTAAGTATCGAGACTCGCTTAAGTCAGCATTATAATAGGTCAGTATGTCCTCTTCCAGCTGATCCCAATTACCATCCATGAAACTGTCTAGGGATTCAATAAATTGTGTGACCATGGAAGAGCAATAATCTATGATCCATTTGCATCTTTCCTTGCCGAGCATGTTATAGATGGCACACATCTGCTTGTACTGCCTAATAAATCTCTTGACCAAATTGTGCTTGCCTTTAAACTTGGCGGGAGCAGTTCGAGCTCCTAGTAAGGGCATCATGTCAGATGTGCGAGCTTGACTATTAGGCACTCCCATCATTGCCATGTTTGCTGCAGGGACAGGGTTGGTGACACCTATAGGCAGTATATTGGAACCGGGTACAGGTCCTGCCATACTGCTGTTTGGTATATTTCTGAATAGCCCTGTACTTTATTGACTGGTATGTCTTTGGTTTCTGCCATACATATTAATGTTAGGTGGTATGGTGTTTTGAGCACTGGGTATTGGCACACATGTCTGGAAAGTTTCTTTGGAATCTTCTTCATCTGAGTCCGAGTTAATGACTGTCTTTCTGGCTTTATCTCTGGTTTGCCAGTTTGAGTCTATGGGTGCTTCTTCTTGTGCTGCTTCTGAAGCTTCATGCATGCCTGATTGCATGCTCTCATGTCATTCATTGATTGGAGTGTTTGTCATGGTAGTTATAAGTGTCTATAATATTAATGTCTGTTAGTAGTCCAAAAAGTTTATAAGTCTGTGGATATATGTGTTTGTAGAAAAAAATGTAAATAAGAGTCTGTTATGAACTTTGTGTCATACAAAATTAATGGTTGTAACTAGTGAGAATAGTTTAAACCTACTTGTGGTGGGCTCCAAATATGTCAGGGGTACTTTGGTTTAGTACAGTCCTGGTTAAGTAGTTCGGGGGTTCAAGCATGAATGCTATAGGTTTCCACTAGTTAAGTTTGGTTGGGATAGGTCAAGTTACTTTGTGTAACTGTGGGTAGTTGTTTGATAAGCAGTCAGGGTCTTGAAGAGTGAAGTTGATGGTGTGTCACGAGCATACCTAAATAAACTGTAGTTAATAAAATAGGTGTGTCATGAGTGAGCCTAGAATAGATGTGTTGATAATTCTTGCAATAGAGCTTGATGTAGTCAGCTTAAAAGTGTGTGTGTAGTGTGATGGGTAAAAAGTTGATGATCTCATTTCTTCTTTTCTACTCTATTTATACTTACTAGCTTTATTATTACCATATCAGATTCAGGCTATGCAATTCTGTGCCTTGCCAGTGCATCTGACATTCTCTCTTTTTCTCTGTTCTTCTCCCTTCTTCTATTACCTTCCCAATTCTTCCTATACTATATGTCATCCTGACACCTGGCAGATGACTAATTAGTGCCAGTCAAAATGGAAGAGAAATAGTTAGAATGCAGATAAAATTTCGACCCAGGTTTTTGACCACAGCACAATGCGCCAGCTTTACCAAATTTGATCTGTTGTCCAGTCATTTTCCTAAGATTTAGTCCAGTTTGAAACAAGTAGCTTATACAGAGAGCAAAGCCCATGAAGTGGGAATACTTTGGATCAACGATGGATGACACAATGATGATCAGCTCCCATGCTCTCCTGCTAGTATTGTCACCTCTTTGGAATGAGTAATAATGGAGCATTGGAGGAACAAAGAAGATTCCCCTGCATTCAGCTGTAAGGATCTCCCAGACATTATCAGCTGTGAGCAGAATGTTCAATCTTTACTTGCCCAGGAAGCAAGGTGCCTGTGTATAGCTCAGAGACAAACACTGGTGACAAATGTGTTCAAGTGTCGAAGTGAGCAGGCTCAAGCTAACTGTACTGACAGGTGATCAAAAAACAGGAGACAGTGCTGAAGATATGGCACATAACGGATGATTTTCTGCAAAATGTCTTTGCCAATGTAAGCAGCCTAGGGCAACAAGAATGAGATTATATAATATTTTTTATTATTCTGGCAGCAGCTCTGTGAGCTTATCTGACTGATGGTAGTGGTGGGGCATGCATATTCTAGCATGGCCTGGGTGTAATATCCATTTATATGGTATGGATGCCTGGACAGGGAGTTGCCTTGCATTCCTGACCATTCCTGTCTCAGGGTACTACCTACATTTTCTTAATGCCAGGACCACTTGATCACTGGCTCTCCGGTAGGCTTGCAGCCAACACCAGTTTTGAAGATACAGGGCATCCAGGACCACTAGTCACTGATAACCTGCTCTCAGGCTATGTTCGTTGTACAGTTGAGCATGTTTGCTTTCTGCCAGTATGAAATAAAGTGTTAAGGCCATCTTCTCTTTTCCTGATACTGCCAACTCCAGACTTTCTCTATCACTGGACAAGAAGTAGGAAAATAGGTTCTCTATCTGAGAGCATACACCCATCAACTTTTTGAGAGTCCTCGAGCTGTATTGGATGTATACACTGCAAATGGGCATTCAGCTCTACCAACTGGGTGACATGGCAAAATGATACCATGTATTTCCATTAGAATCAGGTGTATTTTTTTTTAATTTTGCTCAGATCACGCATTGGGAACTCAACTGTACCATGTACATTTCATATTGTCTTCTTCATCAGAGTCCTATGCTAACCCTCAAAATTCAAAGATAAGCCATCTAATGTTCCACTGGGTGAAACCTGCTGCAGTGGGTTTTAATTACCTCATGTTTAAACCTTTTAGTGCTAACATTCTCAATAGCAGAGTACCTGGGTACAGCAAATCATGGAGATCAATAAATGGAGACATCAGCAGCATCACCAGCTCAATAGCCTGCGAGTGATGGCTGAATATTCCTGGGTAGCTACCACTAGTAGCAAAGCAGACACCTATCAGTTCTATTCCAGAATTAATTGTTGGGCAGAAGATGTTGCTGTAGATATTACTGTCAATTTGATGGTCTTACTAATTCTTTTTTCAGATGGCAAACTCTGGTGGGATGCTGGATGAATAGCATTCGAATAATTCCCAAGGTAAAATCCATAATGTCTTGCACTTGCTTGTTACACCAGTATTCATGACAAATAGCTCGTAAATAGTTGTACTGATAATTCAGGGTGTTCCTTATAAAATAATAATGTTTGAGGCTTACAATTAACCGTGCATGTAGGTAGATCACTAAAATCAATGAAATCTATGTCCTGAGTAATATAGACACAATCTAAAGAGAGGCTCATGATCACTGATTGAAAGGCTTCTCATTCATGGAGAGAACATGAAGAAAAGGAAAATATACAATCAACAGCTCATAGCACACTCCAGCATAGGGAGGGGAACATAGTCACATATCTGGCTTCATCCCATGGGAGTCTTTGGCTTTGGCACAGTCTTTGCTGATTGTACAGCTATTTTGTAGTCCTTGCTGATTGTCTCTTTGCATGCCACCTCTCCAACTATGCATGACCAGTATATCCCTTGCTAGCCCACCTGAAGGCTCCTTGTCACTCATCTGCCCTATTCGGCATGCCAGCAGTGACAACTGCCAGTGCAAACTCAGACCATCATCTTAGAGCTTGCCAGTCATGGTAAGTATTTTGCTTGATTGTTGGTCTAAACTTTTTCCATTCTACCAGTTTTTATTCCAACAAGTCTCAGCTTCATGACTTGGACACACATTGAAGGAACAGGACTACTTGCCAATACCAACAACCCAAGGCTACCAACAATGTCAATCAAGTTTTAGAGTGTCATGCATGCTTGAGCCTAAATGTGAGTACACCAGAGGTACATCCTCTCCATTTGTTCACCACTTGTACTGGAACAGGGTGAGTTTACACACTCTGAGGTTCTCCTCATTATGTCTAGTGAAAGGCTGTGGTGCCAACACATTACATTCAAATGGCCAACAGAATGAGCATCAGTTGTGGGTCTGAGGGCATCGCACTTCAGCTAAAATATGTGGACTCAGAAAGGTGCAGATACTTATGTCTGCTTTGCTGACCCTTTTATGTCGTTAATCTTCTGTTTCTCAATATGAGCGAATCGCAAGTGGAATTTCAATCAGAAAGATCAAAGCAGCCAATGACATGCTAAGCATCAAAGACTGGTGGAAGAAAATGGGTTGAAGCACTTCAAGCTCAGCAAAACGATTTCTAATGCTGTGGACTTGCCCGCTTCAAGTACTGGATGGAATGTGAAATGATTTGATCAATGGACTGGTGCAGCCATCATGAAACACTTGTCTTGAGGATGCTTGGCATGGTCCTGAGGTCCTTCCAAAGAATTGCTTATGCAATTGAGTGAGTGTAGTTAATGTTATAAACCCAGAAATTTGTATCTGAAACTCATTCAGACATTAGAGACCCATGCAGATTCTCGATTTCTCTGGCTATCTTGTCATCTAACATTTACAGGTGTGCCACTGGGTGGTTGATAACATAGACACCATTGTAGAAGAAACAAAGTCTTTTGTTCGAGCTCGCCAGCTGTTCTCAGATGTCAATGCCAATGGTAACTTTCAGGGGAAACTTTGGCTTTGCATAACTGATCATGACAGACAAAACAAGAAAGTGAGTACCATGCCACCACATTTGATATCTATTGACTCTGTGAAATCTTGTTAGGCAGTGGCACATCCTGGCATTGGGCAAACGAGTGGGTATCTGACTGTATCGCTGGACGTATGTCGTCTATATTCAAGTACAGGCATTTTACCATCTTAACAATTTTACTCAGAGCTCTCCCAACAACATTTAATAGACTGGCCCCCTTTGATTCTTGTGATGACCACCATTCACCTCCTTTAACAGTTTGGATGTCTTGACCCCATCAAAAATTCAAAGGACCTCATCTTTTGACTTTCCTTCTTAACATTTTTATGGCACAAAAGGAGAGCAAGATCACTCAAGTCACACCGATCAGAGATCCAGGGCTTCCAATGACCTGTCATTCTGTCAGTTTGTATCCAGACTGGTGCGTTGTAAGCTCGACATCTCTCATCTCATTAATACTCTCTCATTTTGTTCACCATCTAGAGAATCTGTAATATTTGGTATCCACAGCTCAAGGACACTGCCCTCAAAACTCCGTGACCACAGATACAATACTGCACTGACATCATAATCTTGATTGTGGATTTCAGTAAGATTTAACTTGATTATGTTAACCCCTACTGTTACAGTACACACCTCCCTCCAAGTCTTTCTCATCATTGTTTTCATCTTTTGTGCTTATACCAGCACCTATAACATCCCCATTCTTCACACTACCATACTTCTTTCTTTCAATCCATAACAGCATGCAGTGTTCTTTCTTGTGCCTGTGCAGTGCACCACCTCTTTTGTCAAGACAGCCAACGTATACCACCCACCTTTGTGATGCACACTCAACAGTTTCCTCCTCACATTACCCATGTCGTGTTTGCATGTATCCTCAAGCTCGAGCCCGAGGAACCATCCAGACTTTCAAGAGACTGCTTCATGAAGTTGCTCTATGTTCCTCTGATCCTCCACACTATCCACTGGTTGTAATTCCTGGTGAAACCAAACCATTGGAAAGGAAAGGATGACCTTCTGCCTCTGTTGACCCACAGCTCCTTAAGGATTTAACCATGAGTTATGGTGGCACTGTGAAAATAGGCAGACTGTTGGGGTTTAGCACAAGGACCATCCAAAGGCTTCAGCTCAAGTGGAATCTTGTATTGCCAGGACAGGCACCCTTCCAGATTCATGTCACAGATGACAGGACAGAATGTTAGAGCCACCACATCACTTGCCCTCAGATGTCCAACCTTTCAGATGAAGAACTTGACTCTATGGTCTGCAAGATACTCACGGATCACCCTCGCCACAGTCACACAATGCTGTCTGGTGCAATTGCTAGCCGAGGCTTACAAGTATCTCAAGAGAGGATTAAGAGCTCATATGAAAGAGTACACGGTCCTCTTAGGCAATTTGGTTGATGCTCTATTCCTCGGCAATTCTATTTTGTTCCTGGTGCTAATTTGTGTTGCCATCATGATGGAAACCATAGTGCATGACTAATCATTCCATTTATCAGCTTTATTGATGGCATTGTTCTTAGAGCTCATCCACTGGAAATTCATAGTCCATATGTTCATAGATAGGTGTTCTCATGCTGTCTCCGGAATTAGGGTGTCAGGTAATAACAAGCAAAGGACTGTTTTGGACTTGTTTCTTGAAGCGATTATGCTCTGGGGAGTACCAATGCAGTGTCGTGAGGACCACAGGATTGTAAACACCATGGTGGCCCAATGGATATACCATTATTGAGGAGATGATGGCTACATATGGGGAAGGTGAAGATAACTCAGGCAAAGTTTAAGATGACACTGATCCATCTCTCCAGGTCTGTTTACAACACTCGAATTGAAAGACCTTGGGTGGTTGTTGTGGAAGGCTTTCTCAAAAAGTGGATTTCTTTCTTTGAGGATCTTGAGCGGCATCACGGTTTAGAGCGAGATAATGATGAGCATCTGGCCCTTCTGCACTTCCTTTTCCTTGGGGATCTCAATGATGATGTGCAAAGATGGGCACATGCATGGAATGCTCACAAAATTGCTGTTTGTGGAGGCAAGAGGGCTTCTCCAAATGAGATATTCCTTGAAAGCCAGCTTTTGGATAGTTATCAAGAGTTTGAACATCTTTTGTGTGATGACTCTCTTTGTCTTCATCCTGACCAAGTTATCCAAAATTTTGGATTGTTGGAGCGAATGCTTGATGATTTACGCTATCATAGCCAAAGAGGGTGCTAGCAAGCCAATATTCCTGGCTGTAAGCATTATCATGCTTTCCATTTACTGATTATCCCTCACACCCTTCCAATGCCACCTAGTATGCAATATGTGGAGGTTAATCTCTCTTCCCTTGAACTCGATCCAGTGCAGGTTGACTTAATGCAAGATCATTTGAGATAATCTGAATCCGAGGACCTGCTGTCTCATTACATGAGCATACAATGACTTCAGTGGATAGCAGGTCTGGAATTCATCAGAGGTGCTGGGAGGGCTGTACATTAGAATGGTTGCATACATACTAATCACTGTCCTCTGTCGGCAGCATTGCAGATTTTGCCATTAATATTGCCTACTTTGTCTTGATAGTTAGACTGGACTCTAGACTGGTATCAAACATATTCCGAGTCCTATGAATATGGGATTTTGGTTATCATGCTGAACTTACTGTGGAAAAACTCTATTTGGGGAATCAATCCATCATGGCATTTGCCAACAGGGCCCAGCTCAACATGGGAGTTTTTCTATTGAGCCCTGTTTCCCTCTGACTGCTTTATCCGGTTCCCTCCTACCTTAGTAACATCACTGCTGACTCAATGCGACTGCCATCTCCAACTTTCTTCAATGACTTCTGCTTTCACACTGTTCCACCACTGTCCTGAGATCCTTTGATCTGAAATGCTCACTCTCATATGTTGTTTGGCCCGACTATCCACCAATAGACTGATTTGTTCCTATCTTTTTCACCATCCCACTATTGTCACCTGCCCATTAGGGTCCTAAATGCCTCCAAATGATTCTAACAAGGTATCTTCTGCTCATATCTCTCACTAATTCATGTCTTTAGATGTTCTCTTTGTATTTCCTGGTGCCAAGGCTCTAAGTATCATCATCTGGATGTGTACAATGCCATTAAGCTGCCTGAGCACTTGGCAATGACAGTGTGCAGACAAAGAGGGTTTATCTTGTTAGATACCGAGTGCAAAACAGTGATACTAGGTTGTGGAAGGAAGGATGAGAAAGTGCCAGCGGCGGTGCTGTTGAAGGGTCAGGACCACATTGATGGATGTCAGAGTGATGTTCAATGGCCAGGAACTCCTACATGCATGCCTCTGAACCTTGGCCACCACACCCAAAATTTCTGCATTTTTCGATGTGTTCCACCCCTGCTTGTTCAGCACAATGTACTTGTTATGGAATCAAATAGCTCTTTGTATCTTTTTGCTGTGTGAAACTCCCTGCCCCTGCCTATCTACTGCTTGTTAGGGTGCAAGTGTATGCCTGATCCTTCATTTCAAGCATTCTGTGCATTAGCCAGTAATATTCTGTAGCCATCGGAGAATTTAGACATGCCTGCATGGCTATCTTTTGCTTTTGCAACAGTCATACCCTTATTCAAGAGTAGTCTGAAGATGACTTCTAACAACCCAAATGCCAGTGTGTTCAAAGGATATATTGTGGTGGCAGTCCTTTTGGGACCTTTGGTACAGGCCAGAAAGTTTGGTACATTGATAGCTCAGTGATAGGAGCCATATGATATTGATTTCCTATCTAGATGATGTCGTATTGTGGAACACAGTGATCCAGGCCTTTACCTTGAGTTCTGCAAAGCCCTTGTTCCTTCTCTCCAAGCTGTTTATCAGAAACTCACCGACTCTGAGGATGAGAGGTGGCTTTTGCATGCCACTGAGGCTTTGATACACTTTTTTAGCAAAGAAATATCCAAAAATGATGCCATCAGGTCCCCTTTTTCAATTCAATCTACAATCCAGTCGTTTATCATCCAATAGGCTGCAAGTTGGAAACATCTTCCTGCATCTTTCTCTCAACAGCTCATCTGCAGATATTCGAAGAGATGTGAACTGAGCAATTGACTTGTCTGCTGCAAAATTCCCTGAATTGACATCTCATCTGGTTTGTGATACATTGGTGGTTTTCACAGCTCGTGAGCCCCTGCCATGGCCAAGGTTGATGATGTATCTGTTTCATGGAATAACCATTCACAACTCGCTGCATTGCTTCTCAGCTGCATTGCTTTTCTGGCTGAATGTGATGTCACAGTCAAGGAGCAGGAGGCTGTAGAGGTGTTGATTGTAGCCTATCATGAACTCATATGTTTGTCTATAGTCTTCAGTGATATCTGTTCCTATTTAACAGATCCTATTTAGATGTTCCGGCATGTCAAACATGGATTGATCTTTGCCAAAAAGTTGGAACAGATCCCCATGATCTTGTTAGCCATCATATTGATCAACTTATAGATTCAGTATCCAGCAACTCCCTTAGCGAAGCAGTGAGTTCTGGTCTGTGCATATCTTTGCTCAGGTTGACATATCGGCTTAGTTTGGCTTCAAAGATGCCAGCTACCATGCAGTGACAACATTGGTATTTGTGTCTCCTGAGACTGTGGTGTCATGAATAGTAGACCAGGTATGGAAGGATTTGGATGCCAAAATCATCAATGGACTATCTGACAATGACCTAGGGATTTGGGCAACCCCAGAGGGTATAATTTATATTGATGGCAAGACTTTCTTAATCTGTATCTAAGAACAATTCGGCTGACTGCTCTTATAGTCTTAGCATCGTCCAGTAAGACCACAGAAACTAGAAAGGGCAAAGATGCTGATATCACTAAATGGGAAGCAAATTTCTGGCTAGCATCAGAGCCTCACAAACACTTTCACATTGTGATATGTGAATTGATCTGAATCATAATAAATTCCATTTACTAATAATGAAAGATTTTTGCAGATACAATTTAACCTTGCTAACATGGTGCATCGCTGCTGATGGAAGGGAAGCATAGGACTTGGACTTGCCACTCAGATGTGTTGGCCCTCACTCCACTAGTATATCTTTGGTAGAGAACTGTAACTGCACACATCACCAGCTTCTCTCCAATTGTGTTTATAGATTTTGCCCATTCAAATCTGATAGTTTTATTCCACCTTGAATTCAGTCGCCATATCAGCAGGTTATGAAAGTCTGACTACCTTGATGACAGACACAAGAAAGGCCACACTGCAGCATAATTTTACTGCATCAGTTATGTACACAGTAGATTTAATGAGTGAGACTCTGCCTGTGTATCAAGAATCTCCTTTATCTGAAGGTACTCTCCTTTTCATGCTATCTAATGATACTCTGAAAGATTCTGGGTACATCAGAGCAGCAGGTGCAGGTCAGAGGGCTTCCATCTATCATAGAGTCAATAGGGTTGAACCAATGAGGGCTGCAACTAACATGAATGTGTACTTCATCTGCCACATTTTGGTTTGATCTGGCTTGAAATCTTAAAGTGGTGAACACTGGCCTGAGACTGGAAACAGAGCATTCAGTATTGATAAAATTTGCCAGCCTTTCACTCACTTCGAAGCCTCGGAGTGAGATTCTGCTGCACTGTATTGGCTCAGACGGTGCACTGCTCGACAAGCGACAATCTAGGCTGTAATTTTGATCTGGAACTGATGCTTGGACGCATATATTTAGCACATACCATGGACAGTTAGCTGCCAGGACACTGGCAATGATGGACATCACAGCATTGAGATTTAAGAGCATGAAAATCTTGAAAAAGTCAGATAAATGACCAAATGAGTTTTAACACTTACCGCAGCAATTACATTGACAACAAAGGTGACCAAGAAGAAGATCAATCCATCTATAAAAACCAGCCGGATAATCCCTGAGCGTTGTATATTTCCTGGTACTCTGTAGACAGAGTCAATGGGATTTCTTTGTGAAAGGAAAGAAATATGACCATGTGCACTTCATGTGTAGTTTACATCCAGTTAACAGCAAGATCAGAAATTCAAAACCCATGGTATAGATAAAAGTGGCTGCTAGCATCTTGTTGCTATGGTGCAAGTTTCCAGTTCTGATGACCAATTGGCATTGATTAGTACACCTATTATGAGAGTAAAAACACAACATTTAGAGACAATATAAAGACTATCATGTTGTGAAGTAGAAGGGACCAGTGAGCCAGGATAAGAATGGAGATTGGTATGACAATTTGGTGATGGAAACCCCATATGGCAAATCTGTATGTTGTCAGAGAAGACGTGCCACCAAAGAATGGGAACATATGTTCTTAGAGAAAGGTTGAGGGAGGCTAGGCCCACAGATGCATTTCCAAAGACCTGTTTTGGGCCTTTAGCACAGTTGGAGAATCATAAAATGGAGATACCTGATTGAAAATGTACAAGACTTGACAGTTAATGGGGCTGAACATCATCTAGGTTAGTAGAAGTAAGACTGTTTGAAATTATTCTGTACCTCTTCACATCTGTGGTGACAGTACTAATCCAGAAGTGAGCTCTCGATCAGTACCAACAAGGAATAGATGCCAAACACTCCGATGAGAGAAAATAGTAAAAAATACCAGTTGCAAAAATAAAACAGCTGAAGGATTTTGTATCATGAGTAACACTGGCTACAATTGGAGATATTCAATGCATTGATGAGCCTAAACTTCCATGGCAACGGCAAAAACCAAAACTCTAGAGGAGTTCACAGCAAATGGTGCATAGCAGCAATAAAGGCTTTGTTGTTGTGTGAGTGTTTTGGTGCACCTCCATGCGATGAATTCCTCAAGAATGCAAGTATACACTGCGACTTTTCAGTCAGCAAAGTAGTACCCTTAACGATTGAGTACTAGAAAGCATTAGCTATAAGCTGGGAAGGGTCTCGATATACGAGAAGGAACGGAATCTGGTATAACTGAGAATACCAGCAAACTATGAATGAAGCGATGGCAATTAACTAGTAAAAGCTGTGGGCAGAATTGGCAGAATTAATGGAAACACTGTCAAAGAGAAATACTGTTGGCAAGATAACAAATACCGTAATGGCAAGAGACGAAGACTGTAGTCAAGAAACTGGTGGTAAAATGAAGAGAGACTGGCTGGCAGAAATATGAAAGGGAACTAGTGGCGACAAATGATGAATGGAACTGAGCGATGATGAAACTAAAACTGGGCTGAGGTTAACTGCGGTAAAACAAAACTGATACTGATCCTGAGTCTACACAGAGACTATCCTATACTGAAGCTGATGGCAAGATAACAAATACTGAGACTGGTGATCCTATGCTGAAACTGACAGCAAGATAACAAATACCGTGATTGAAGGTCCTATACTGAAACTATTGACCAAAATTCCATGACAGACACTGCTGGCAGCAATAATGATCCTAATCTGTGTCCACATGGGGACATAACTGTACTGAGCTGAACTGGGGTGAAACGATGGTGATATAGAAAGTGAAGGCTGGTAAAACAATGCTGGCTGGTGAAAGTGAAACGATGCTGGTGGAATAAAAAATAAAAGCAAGTTGTGGACACAAAATTCCATGTATTGGCGCAATATGATCATACACCAATACCGTTAGAAGAAAAGCCATGACAGAGAGTATAACTCGGAGTGACTATGCTGTTATTGTCTGTTTTCTAGTGAGTACAAGTAGTGATAGTGGTCAATAACAGTTGCGATAACTTTGTGTCTGGTAACTTGTTGTCCCTGATAACTACTACTACACTAGCTTTTATACTACAAGTTGGGAATAAAATTAGAATACTTGAAACAAGTCCTTAGTAAGTCCTTAGTACATCAATTGGTAAGAAATGATACAAAACATGTGCTCCCAGAATTCTAAAGTAATAGCATCCACACAGTTTTACCACGTATAGACTTGGTGATCAGAAAGAATTCTGCTGATATACAGACTCTTGGGCTGCTGTGTTGCTGCAGCAAAGTACACTGAAGGTAGTACACTGAAGTAGATGCATGCAGCATTGTCTTGGCATTGTAACAGCCTTAGTAAAGCTGGTGGAAAGGTCATGGTATTAAGTCTTTTGCTGTGGAATAGGTATTTTGGCTGCAGCATTCTATTAAGTGACACTTGATGCTGATGTCAGTGATGGCTGTGCTGAGCAATCAATGATGGTCCTAATTCCATGAGATCTGCAATCAAGTGCCTGGTGGCATTAATGAAGTGGTGCATATTGATGTGGAATACGAGTTGGGATGGATAGTTGGCGGTAAAAGTGGGTATTGCTGTGATTGCAATTGTTAACTTAGGGAAAGTCCGCTAAGTGGACAAGGTATTTATTATAATGCTAAAATCCATGAATTCTGAGTATACAGAGCCTTGAGGCTCATCAGCATACCATGGGCCAGCAAAAAGCCTTCACTCCTGCTATCCATTTCCAATCATACTCGAATGAAATTATGAATTCCCATCTATAAAAGTTGGCTATGTGACATTTTTTAGAGATTAGGCAGACACTCATGTGTAGACACCAAGGATCATGTGTATCATATTGGCAAAGGCTGCTACTAACTATTATGGTATGCCATGCATATAATAATAGACCAACAGACTGCTATCTCATACAATTTCTCTGGGAGAATTCCAGTGGGCCATGTTGCAATGCTCCAGTATATGTCAGTCATCTTCAGGGAAGGTATGAGGGATTCAGTGAACTTTACCATGAGGTTGGGCTGGTGGTATTTATACTCATGGGCTGAAAAGTTCAGTAACAAGATTGCTAAGACTATTTCAGAAATATGCGAAGCACCAACCTGGATGTTTAGGTTTTTGAATGCCTCAGCTCTACAGTAGAAATTTCTGTGTCATTCAAACTCTATCCTCCATTCCCATCATTTAGACTTTTAAAGTCTCTGCTATCATACATTTTCTTGTGGAGCAGTCAAGAAAAGTGACCCATGTTGTAATCCCAATATCCCCAAGTAGCATGCCTCTTGCCACCATATCTTTTCCTGATTTCTCGCTTTAAAAGAGAGGGTCAAAAGAATGTTATGAATATGTGCTTCAGTTCATAGACTCAGAGGTCATGCCAGTGGCATAGCTCAGTGTTTTGGGCGATGCTTCAGAAATCCTTTCAAAATGCGGGTCATAGCATATCCCAACTTGGGTGGTTTAGAACTGTGCAGATATTCAGAATGGAATGTCGGAACTTATGAGTGTCGTAGATTCCCAGGCAAAAGCTGATCAATATTATTGGCTTCTGATCATTTTTCCTGGGAATCTTCTACTTATGTTGAGCCATAGGATTTGAATGCCAGAATATATGAGCCAAAGGAGTCCATGGATCAACCTTATAGCGATAAATATAGATGTACTGGGTACCTGGTCTATGCAAAGGAAACCTCAGATCTTACTCTATCTTACTCCCAACGATGAAGGGTGTCTTCACGCCCTGAAAAACCTCTTTCAGGACTTAGACATGAGTATTCCATATAAGTTAACTTTTCCATTCTTCCAATGGATATAAGTTTTCATTTGTCTTATAGTGCTTCTGAGGTGAATTTTCAATCTGTATCAAGCCACCCTTTTCTCCCATCATTACAATCCTCAATGTCCCATGGCATGCAATCTGCATAGAAATTCACTGGACAGGAGTTTGTTATGAACTGATGCAAACACATAATCATTAGCAAGATAGCCAATGCAGAGCAATGACCATATATATTTAGAATGCCAATAATTATTCAATAGACATTGACATGATACAAAGATGGAGTCATTCAAAAGAAGTGAACTGCTGAAATCAAATTCTAGCGAATCCACAGGGTTATTAATAGAGATGCTGGCTCAATGCCATCATCAGCTATGTGCATGAAAATCATTGTATTCTGAGGGTGACCGGTGAAGTGACTAGTGAATTCTCCAGTTTTTTATTATCTGTTGCTTAATCCTTCCATCATAATTCTGTATGTTTTCATCTGCTTCCTGTGTATGCACTGCAATCAAGATACCATGATCAATGACTATAGTAGCTGCTGTAAATATCCATTGCTGGAAGTTTGGTGGCAAGAGCATGATGTGGTAATCCAATCCGATCTCGCCTAGTCCAACACAAGATTGGCATGATGGTGCATTGAGAATCTCAGATTCAATGGTAGGGGCATACAATTTTACTTTGTGTCTGGATGGAGATTATCATGAGAGGAGGTGGGCCTGAATTCACAGAGACATACAGGTGAACACCTGGAGGATTAATTGTGAGCATGCTCAAAGAAAAAAAAGATAGTCACTAGGAGAGAATGAAAGCAGGGTAAGCAAGAACAGAGACAGTAAGAGATCAAAATGTGATTGGAAGGTATTGGAAGTTGGAAGGGCAGATAGCTGCCACTAGAGGACATCTATAACAGGAGATACATGCTGCAAAAGAGGGCCGGCTAGCAGCAAAAATCTGCTACCTTAACATCAATGGGTGATTTTGGTAGGACTTGCTGAATGCAGGGGCTATATTGTATTGTTCATGTACTGTAGTATTATTTGAATCATGTATGAGTGCTACAAGCACACAATGATGGTGTCACAAGACTGAACCTATTGTCATAACTTACCATTGCTGCACATTCACATCTATCAGCATGTTCCTGGTGATTCGAGTTGATGTCAGTCTAATTGTTATTCATAGAACTTGTCAACTTTCAAGATGATCCCCATTATTCTAAGATGAACAATTGTTAGATGCATAAACAGGGTCAAAATAGGTCGACTCACAACCATCCAGAAATCCACAGGCTAGTCTTAAGAGATTCTTCTGTATCAGTATGAGCATCAGTGCCCAAGCTGCATCCCTGTGTTCTTGATCCACTGATTTTCCTTCCAGCTCCATCACCTCCCAGCAATATTAACCTCACAGTTGTTAATCCTGATCCCAACACAAACATCCCAATGTCAAATGTAACTCATCAGTTCACCTACCTGCCACATAACTGAGTCTCAGTAGCACCCAAGCTCACAACAATCTCTGAGTAGGCAAAGGAGGAGTAGATACTCAAGAAGAGAATGGTGACACATGTGCAATGTGTGCATATGTGTAATTTTGTGAATTCTATGAGTTTAAACGTATGTCAACTCACTAAGTAATATTATAATGCATAGCCAGCATAGAGTGGCACATACTGAGGCAGAGGCAGCATATAATAAAATAATCCAAGTGGAGCGCATGGCTTAGACTTAGAACAGCACACTGGTGTCATTTAAGTGTGAAGTTGCAGTGCCTAACTCACACCCTGTGCACCCCTCAGCAGTGCTTTGCTCAAATAAAATACACTGAGAAGATAATATATTAACAGAGCTTCATGCAACATTGATCTATGACGTGTGAACTCTGCCAATCTGGCAATCACTGAGAGACATCATTTAGAACTGAGAATCACCCAGTCCAAGCCTCCTGAGAGGATTTCAGCTGACATGAGAGAAACCCTGTATCCAGAATAAAATATTGAACTAAGAAAAGGTGGTGCGGCAACCAAATAAAAATACCAGCTTGTTAGCAATGTGCACAATAGAGGAATTAAAAACAAGGAGCCAATTAGGAGAAATATTCCACATGATGTGGCAACTCTAGACCTTGTCAAGTGGAATGAGCAGCATGTTACCAAGCACTAACTCAGATGACTGACTCAGAATATTAATTAGTGACCATGCGATTGATGCATCATGGAGAGGAAATGGCTCTGGGGTGGAGCGTATCTATTTTCAATATTTCTCAAACCCTGTGGCTTGTGGACATGTATCTGTGTTTCTGTGTCTCTGGATCATATAGGTTTGAACCCTGTGGATCTATGAAAGGTTTCTGAAGTGTTTTCTGCTTAGAGCGCGAAGCTTTAAGTCGTGTGTAGTTTGTTTGACAGGTTGTAGCCACCTATGTGTTGCATGCAACGTCAATTGAGGGTTGTACATTCTTGTAGAACATTTGTGGGCTTGTGAAATATTACTTTTGCCTTGAGGCTGAGTAATACATATCGCTCACCTCTTGTCCTAAAAGCATTTGGACTTAGAGAATTCTTTTGAGCTACCATGCTATTATATCTTGAAGAGCGCAAGACATCTTTTAATTCTACTGTTATTGTGTGCTTGCATCACACATCTCCCCCGAACTACTGAGATTCTGTGTGTGTGAGTGTGAGAGTGGGTGTGTTTAGTGTGTCTACGTTATCACATTTCAAGCTTGGCATGCACAGAGCCTCTTCAATGGCTGTGCAATGAAACTATGCAATTTAGAAGAATAGGTGTCACATACATACATATAAATCAAACTATGCTTTGTTCAGTTTTTGAGGCATTTTTCTTTGTCAATGAGAAAAAAAGCCATACAGAGGAGAAACAAATATGACAGGGTGATGAGCACCAATTAGGCAAGACAGATCAGTGCCAACAAGGGTGCGGGGGCTACAAAAAAGGTAATAAACCCAACAAATATGCATTCAGCTGTTTCCAACACTTAGCACCGATAATGCCAGATGCTACATTGGAAACTGATATTATGATGCAGATTTGTGATGAACTGAACTAAGTCATCATTTCAAGGTCATAGACTGTGTATGCACAGTCAGTGAGCCAGGTGTTAGGGATAAGTGAGCATACATCCAGGACAGCTCACTGTGGCAACTTTGACACAATGTAACATGAGCCAATGTACTGTATGAGATGAGAGCGATGCTGGAATAAATGGTGTTGCGACTGCAGTCTACTTATGCATGGAATTTTGCAATCTAGCATGTTTTACATGCACACAGAGATATAGTGAGCAAGCAGACTAAAATGACGCATCGACACTAATGCTACACGGTGCAATGATGCAGAATATAACTTATGGCATAAGAAGCGATGGGATTCTAAACAGGACTTAGTCACAGCACTGTACCTGATGGGCATGCATGATGAGAAGGCTAAACCCTATACCCAGTGCACTATGCTCTAACTTACAAGCATGCTCACAAGAGTTGGATGACACTTTGAAGGTTGCATTAGCACTGAAAGTACTTAGCATGCTCACTAACTATGACGTGCTGTACCTGAAAATCTGGGGAAATCCTTATGTGAGATGACAGATATCACCAGCACAAACTTGGACAGTGAGTTTTGGCCAAAGTCCATGAGCCCGTGTTCCATTGTCTGGAGTCCCATTGTTCAAAGACTCACTTGTTGCTGTGTTTATGAGAAGCCTCTGTGAATCCAAGAAAGAAGTACTGAAGGATATATGTCAGAAGTGATAGTTCTGTATGCCTAGACCTGTCGGTCATCAGAGAACAAGCCTGCAGGTGTCAGGAGAGCACCTCTTGGCATGCATTTAGCAAGCTCACTATAGAAATGAGACTAAAACTGGGAAGCCCGACTCAGATGCTCAGTAAAGCAGTGGTGGCAATGTGCTATGCATGTAAGGGTCTGGGTACTGTGCGACATTTGTAATTCTAAATTCCCTGTAGTATAAGTAGGATGATTCCAGTAGATAGAAGCCAAGTTTCGAGCCTCTGAGTTTCCGTGCACACATTGAAGGTGGTACTGTGACAAAGGATCAGTTTGTGACTTTGAGCTTTGCATAGAATTAGCAAGCTCACTCAGAGAAATATGAGATACTCTTTTGATAAGACTTTTGAGAACTTAGTCAGAGTGAATACAAATCAGTGATACTGTTTCTGTTCTGTTAAGTGTGATAAGTCTGTTCGGAGAGTGAAAATAAGGAGCTTAGCCCAGTGCCTCAGGTTGAACAAGTTGTGCCATCTTACATGATGGAAATTGATGGGAAGACTTCAGTCCCATGTCTGATCAAGATCTCTGCTGACCAGTATCACTGAAGCAACAATTGCTGTAGCTGTAGTCATAGTCGTGGAGATAACACAAAAAGAAATACAGTGTCTGACTACCACTGTGCTGTCCTCCATCTTTTTGGGAATTCCTTCTTCTCTCCATGTTTGAATGCAATCATCCTTCCACTTCCACGTGACACATGCCTCCTTCCCCTTGGCCAACTCTCTTTCTGGCTAATTGCCAGTTCTGCAAATTTCCATGCTATCAAGGCTATCCATGGTGCCATCACCAAAAACTATTCAGTGGCATCACTTATTACCCATATCAATCAAGCATATGGGATACCAAAAAATCAAACTAAGCTGGACATTGAGCACTATATAGAGTATAATAATGTCAAAGTTTCTAAGCCAGTCTCTGGTCTACCCTCTCCTTGATGCAGCATGCAGTGTCCTGGCTGCCAAAGATGGTACTGCTTTGAAAGGTGTGCATCACACAGGGCAAGTCTGAAGTATTTGCAACAACATCAGATAAATAGTCACTGTCCAGGTGAGAATGCAAAACCTGGTAAGACGGAGATCCTATGATATACCCATAAGCAACCTCTCTTCGTAAAAAGGTTGGTGTTGAAGAGATCCATCTACCTTTGACAGAGGCATACAAACCTCCTAGTGAATCAGAAGAAGTGATGGCTACTATAGTCTCAACCCTTCCAACCTATCATCAGCTAACCTTCTGTCCAGAGTATCTCAAAACCCAGCTTCTCTTTTGGTCTTACGTCCAGAATACTGGTTTGGATTTCAGAAGGATCTCTCTGCTCCTTAGGACACCATCTCTATCAGGGGCTGCTTCATTTTCCCCTGAGCCTTCAGACCCCACTTGTTTTCTGTGGTGATTGGAAATGGGACTCCTATTTGTTCTCAACATCATCTGGGACTACCTGATTGATGCCAAGTGCAAAATGGCCAACTGTCATGGCTAGTGTTATCAAGTTCTTACAGCTGGGTGAGTAATGAAGCCTTTATTGCTGTAAATCTCCTCTCATACTTCTCAACTTCCAGAACAAAAGCCCATTTCTAGTCTGTTTTGGACAGTACTCTTCATGAATATGATGCAACCTTTGCCCAGCTTCTTATTGTTCCTCTGCAATGCCTTGTGAGGCAGTACCTTGTCATAGCTGATAAGAAAGGCAAAATCTGTGATAGTCTTTCTTTCAGACTTAATGCAAGCTGTTGCAATGCACTGTTAGCCACTAACTCTTATCGACTTAGATCAACTCAAGATCGCCACTCGCACTTCGGTGGACGATACAAGAGGGGTCAAAGTAGATGGGAGAGAGCCAGTCGCGAACTTAGATAGTCACGAAACAGGGAGCTTTGAGATAGGTAGATTAAACCTTAGCCGAAGCTGGGGTTTAGGCCAGCTAAGGCTCCCACTTAAATACACGTTCGAGTAGACTAAAAA